TAGCTGTGATATGATTCAGAACCGCACTTTAGCGACCGTGAGGTGAACTGAATCAAGGCGGAGGGCAATTATTTTCTTGGCCTCATTCGTTTTCGTTCCTACACAGACCAGGAGATGTGTGCATTTCCGCCGCCACATAATTAACTCAGATCGTTCGCCGGCGGTGCCTTAGCGTGGAAAGCCGTCGGCTATTATTCAATTGTAAGCTCGGCTATAATTATTGGCTCTCCTTACGTCCGGCAATTGTCCTTCTATCCAGCGTCCTTTTGAGCTCTTAATAGGATTCTATGGGCTCCATTTTTTTAAGGATTGCATCATATGGCGAAGAAGGGGGCTACCAATAATAAGCCAATCCTCTTCCCCATCGCGTGACGCAGGCTACTGGCGAACTATGGGAGATCGTTTGAAGAGGGGGAGTAGAAAAAAATGCAAAAATTTTGAGGAATATATTGGAAATATGGTCTATAACATGGCAGTCAGGCGAGGCGGTGTCGAAAGGGGCGGAATGAGTTTGCCTCCGGCTCTACCAATGATGAGCGGTTACTGATCCATCTAGGAAGAAAATAATCAGTGAAAAGAACGCCGCCGGTGGGCTCGTTCCATTCTTCCTAAAACCGCCCGACTGCTGCGACGTCATCAACTGTACAGGTGCTGGCAACAGCACCTTGTTTGGTGTTCTGTAGTTCCAACTTCTCTACTAGCTGAGAGTAGAATAGCTCCAAGGACAGTAGTCTCAAGGCAAGGCAGAGAGGTCGTTGTGTAATATAAAGTAGCGCTTACAACACGTCTTACCCCGCATGGCCCTTAGGGCAAGTTTCCCATCGAAAGCTGTCCAGGCCCAAAAGCCCCCTCAACTCTTACAATCACTGGCATGTACAGCGGCTAGTCCCTTCAAGTCTTTACATAAGTAGACCAGATTGCCTTTGAGGTTCAGAATAATTACTAATGAAGGCGCATTCTAAACAAGTCATGATTGGGGCAGGACTTCCCCCCTACCTTTCGATCTTTTTCTCAAGAAATGAAGCTGAACTGCTAGATTTATGGTCCATAATGGATTTTCGAGCTAGTGGAGTTTTCTTGAGGGTCAAGAACTCTTCTCGAATAGCTACTGTTCGCTCTTCTAACTTCGAAGTGATCCCGTGTTGGACATGCATGGAGTCCAACTGACCACAGTTAAGCACGTAAAAGAAGTCAATGGGAGAAAGTACAGAACCCAAAAGTGTTCCGTCAAAGCACACTCACAGTGGTATAGGTGATCCAGGCTTACCGTTATGTCTTACTGACCTGACCGCCTTCCTTTCTAACCATGAGATACTGAGCAGGAACACGTTAAGAGCACAGTGCTAGGCAGACAACACCTATTCGTAGACTACCCCCATAAATAACGCCCAGGTCACATGTATAACCCCAAGTGTATAATGAGCCCAATAAAACCAGCTATGTAATCCCCTGCCCATGGTCTTCTTCATTAGGCCCATTAGGCTTTGTTTTATTGTCTGTCTATGCACCTGCATTTCATATTGCGCCAGGATATGGTTTTTCCTTTAAAAGGTGGTATGAAGTAGGCTGTGTGTGTCTCAAATCAAATGACTTCAGGAGTACAAATTCCGCAAGACAATTTGTCCTTCTGTTCCACCTCAGTAGTGGGAGGCACTCCATCAGCGGTCTGGTAGCTGTTTCCGCGGTGTTCAGGAAAGTAGAAGGCTCTGAAAAAACCTCGAAAGATCTACGACGTTGCGTTGAAAACTTTTTGATGAATGAGTTCGCGCTTTTCAGGGTCTTCGCGAAATTCAAACGAGGTTATTGTCATGAAAATGAATGCTGGTCGGCGTAGGCAAATAAGAGATGGTAATGAAGCCATCCCAAGTTCTACTTACTCCAGTTATGCCCAGTAGAGAAACTTATCCCTACTTTTTTGCGTAAGTAACACCTCATCCAATCACATAAACCAACCCACTACCCACATAGACGCAGCCACCAGGCGAAATGGCTGTTCAGATGAAATCGAGAATAACATCCTCTAAAAAATCGGTGAAGTCGAGAGAAAGTCAGGGAACAAGGAAGGTTCCAAGGAAGTCTCGGCAAACTCGTCCACCCGCACTTTTTTGTAGGGCGAGTTTCATGCAATTATACTTTCCGAAAATGATCTGAATAGTTTCGTCTCTTATAGCTTCATAATCTGCTTTGTTAAATGTCCAAGAAGAGCTGTAT